GGGAATCAAATGGTTATAAAAAGCTAACTTCTTGTTGCAGTTTGTTTGGGAAACCACGCTGCGGATCTCTATTCTCTTTCTCTATGGGGCGGGGGGTTCTGTGATGGTGTGGGGTTTTGAGATCGTAAAAACGCGTACTTTGATATGTAGCTTCTTGTATCAAACACGGTAAATAAGTCTGCAGAATCTATTCGCCCCCAGAGTTCTGAAATTCATATGAAATATAAAGAGTTCTCTATTTTTCATTTAAATACATACAGGAAGGTTCTAGAATTTTCAATATGTGCAGGGTGAACCCATAAACAAGAAATGCGGCTGTTTTATGTAATATTTTGTGTTACTTAAGTTTTGTACTTTGGAAAGCAGATACTTGAAGTTTGGAGTTGCTGAATATATATGAAAGAGGAAACATTTTCCTGAGGAATATTTTACTTTGAGTTCGATACTTTAATGTTCGAAAAATACAATCTTTCCTTCCATTTAAAAGTGAAAGGTTACTTATAAAATGCAAACTATAGTTGTAAAAAAAATTGTACCTAGTTGGGCCAAAATTTTGTATTCTGAATATCTAAATGTATGAGTGGAATTTTTTCTGCATTTTTGTTTAGGTGGTGAATTCTTATTTCGATATCTTAACTACAAATCACTGTATAAATATATGTATAAAAAAATATGTATTTATTTGAAAAAATATTTTTATATCTGTTTAAATTTGGCTCAATACTAACTAAATCTTCGAGTTATTTGTTTCATAAAACTACGTTGCGAAACTAATAAAACTTTTTAAACAAAGCTTTAAGTCGGTTTGACTTGATTGCTCTATTATTGAAGAATTGTATTTGTTTATATGATTTTCTTATTCCTTTAACGCAAAACCAGTTAATTAGTTAGATACCGATACTTGGAGCCTATTCACGTCGATGAAATTAAAAAATTTAACCTATAAAGGTGATAATATATAGGCGGTAAAAATATAGGTATGAAAAATGTTGAACATTGTTTAAAGGACAAGTCAAGTTTTCTTTTTCAAGTTCCGCAAACAGTTTTTCTTTTTCAGTTAGTGTATTAAATATACTATTATTGCGTGAAGCTAACCATGGAAAGGCTTTGTGTCAACTGCTTATTAAGTTCTTTCTTTTACTGCGTACTTTTCTAAGTTGGAAGCTACACTAGTTATCTTAATGCTTTATAAAGCGAAGGTGTGCTAGTTTCACAACTTAAATCAGAAGTTTGTTAAATAATTTCGTTTGTTAAATAATTGTTATAAGTCGGTCTGTTGAATAATTTCACGAATATTTTAGCGGCAAATTGTGATGCAATTTTGATTAATAATTTAGATTTTTATTTACTGGGTTTTCCCATGTGACGCCTGAATCTTTTGTATTTCCCGACCTCAATAACAATTAATCATTGTTAGGAAAGTAATATATATATATATGTTATAAAAATTTTTTTTTCCTCGGCTTATCAAAATGCATACATAATATGGTACGATTACTTCTCTACTCTGTAATCTTGCCACAATTTCTTTGCATTTTGATCTTTTTCTTTTTAGTATTTAAAATTTTATGGTTTATTTCGGGTTTATCTGAATTTTCTTTTCTCTATATTTTAAATTTAAGATTAATAGTGTAGGTAAAACTGAATTTGCCGTGACGTCTTTCTCCCGAAGTATATGCTCTTCTTAAGATGTTTGAATAGTGCTAGAGTAACTCGCGTTGTCTTCGTGTAAAATAAAGTGCTCTTCAACTCGGCTATTTGCATTTTATATACTCCTTCCTTATTGCTGCAAGTCTTTTGAATAAAAATCACTCTATCCATTCCCCAAACTGTAGATGTGTATATATTTTTTAATGTTTTTTTTTAAAAGAAGAAAAAAAGGGAATAAACTACAGTGAAGCGGCATTTTGGCGAAGAGTGTGCAAAGTCGTTATGGCCATCCATAACATTTTTATATTTATTTTAGCACCCATCCAGAGCACTGCAGAAAAGGAGTAGAAAGCTGGTCCAGCATGGCGCGAAATGAATGCCTTCAGATATAAATATAAAAAGCTTCTCCGTCTCGCCAACATATCGAGAGAAATGCCGTGTTTATTATACTAGACCCCATCAACAGGATGGCACCCTCGCAATTTTATGAGCCCACTGTCTATGTCTTTGTTCTTCTTTTTTGGCGGGGTTTGCCTGGCGGGAATCGCCCCTTTTCGCGACCCCGTACGTGCCTGGTTTTGTAATAAAGCCTCTCATGCAAACTGGCGTTTTTTTAGATGTTATCGTTTTATTGATTAACATTCTACAAAACGTTACCTTGTTATTGAGGTGTAGTAAAAAACTGACAATTAATCGCGGTGATATCGATAATTATGCGGTTATGCCCGGGGATCAGTCGCCCAGGGCGCTCCGCAGTTTGGGCATGAGTTCGTAATTTCAGAGACCTGCATCATTCTAATGATTTTGTCCGTTTGACAAGTTCATCCATAAGGGCTATTCTCGATATTGAAATACATTTACAACGATTTAAGATCAAATATGAAAGATAATTTAGATTCAATTCTTTATTAAGATTAATTAAATGACGAACTAAGATTAATTAAATAAACAAGAAATTAAACTGGAGAAGAACTTTCGTCGGTATTGAAATGCATTTATAACGATTTAGGATGAAATAAGAAAGATAATTCATTAGATTCAATTTTATTAAGATTAATTAAATAAATCAACTGTTGTATTTTCTGTGCGAGTTGATATTTTATTATTTTTGCCTATTTTTATAATAAAAATTTCAGTTTAAAATCTGGAAAGCGAACTTGCACATAAGTATATAGTAAAATTGCTAGAGCAGATAGAAAGAAAATATATTTTAGGAACGCTTCTAAGTGATTCTAGCACTATTTTTCCTTTAAAGATTATTATTATTATTTTTTATTTGTTTTGGTTTAAAAATTCATTAAGTAAATAACGTAAAATAAAATTTTTTTAAAACTTATTTCTTTTTTATTGTCTCAAAGATAACTAAGATTTTCCAATCAGATTCATTTTTAAAACTTAATGTCAAATTTTACTCTATGAAAGTTTTTATTTATCTTTTAACTAACTTAAAAATTTTCATTTCTTCTAATTATTACAAGAATAACGTAACCCTTTGTATTTATCGTAACGAGTTTTTTCCCTTCTATATATTGAAAGAAAGGTAGCAAAACTGATTTCCTCCCAAATTTCGATCGCCAATATTGAAATAGTCTAGCGGCAACCCTTTCTCTGAGAGAGAAATAAAAGCTCAGTCACGCTGCATTAATTTTGGCGCATGGTCGTCATTATGGTCGCTCCCCCGTTATTAATTGTACCCATTCACAATAGACCAGATCACTCGAGTCCCGTTTTAATGTCTTCTGTCGTCCTCCCACCACCTCTTACGCCATCTTTTTTTTCTTTTTCTTTCTCTCCTATCTTCTCTCTTTATTTTCATAATGCAGTTGTTTCTTCCTCTTACAGCTTTCGTTTTTGACTTGATGAATTTATATCGTTTGCTAAATCGACTTTATGCTTTGTGATATATATTATCGTTTGCACTTCATTTAATTTGTTCCAAAGTTTTTTTTTTCTTCTGCTTTTTATGTCATCTTTAATTGCATGAAAACGGAGCATTTCTCGTTTCGGCTTTTAATTTGTATTTATTGATTGTAATTAATTATTTCTTAATTTATTATTTTTTTTAGACTGGCATTAAATGTAATTTTTTTTTATATCTTGTTAATCGGTATACATTTTATTTTATTTTTAACGACTAAGACATGTAAAAACTAAGATTTAATGTGCAGATAAAATTTTATATTCATGTTTTCATATATTATATATTGAAAAAAAGGTTCTAATTAAAAACTTTAAAAAAAAATTTCTTAAATTCTCAAATTTTGTTATTTTAAATTACTTAAACTATTTCATTTTTTTTTAAAATTCGAATTTTATATAACCTGCAAACGAATGTATTACCATCTTTACTCCAAATGACTTATCGTACTTTTCTTTAAATCTTATATTAAAAATGTGTTTAAAAAGGGAAGAAGAAAAAAACTTAAAAACTAGTTTTCTGCATTTTTTTTTAATTTCGCCGTAAATAGTGCATTTTTAAAATCTTCTATTTTAATACATGTTTCACTATTTAAAAGAATTATTGCGCTGATTTTGGAGGGACAAATTTTTGCATTAGTCAGTTATCTAATACAAAATACTAACAAAAAATATCGTAGTTTTTGATGTTTCGCAGTTGAACAGTACTTTATTTAGAATTTGATTAATTGTCTGAATAATGTATTTTATTTGTACTTTTTCGCACTTTAATATTAAAAATTCATACTCACAGCAATGTTCGTAGCAAATTTTGTTTTAAATATCAAAGTTTGGATTATTTATTATGAACTTTAAAACTGATTACTTTTTAAACCACTTGACCGAAAACCCACAATCAAGATTTTATTTACTTAAAAATGTTTTCAAGGTTATTGAAAAAAAAACTTTATCAAAGTTGATAAAAACGTAAGCAATCTGTCTGGTGTCGCGTGCCTCCTCCAGAAATCAATCAAAAACACTGTCTTTAGCAGTTTACATATTTACACTGCCATTGAAAGAAGTTCTATTGGCAGTATTAAGCAATTTGCATGAAAATATTTGTGTTTTTGTTATCGCTGCAGCCAGTTTAGATGCATTTTATCACTTTGAAGAAATATTTGCATTGGCATTATTTTATTGTAGATTACCAAGTTATCAAAAGATAATTTAAAATGGAATTAAATCTGGTTGTTTTAAAGTTTGTGTGTGTATATATATATATAACTTTTTTTGCGTACCTCTTTTAATAGATATAAAATCGTCTCCACTTTAAAAATCGTTGATTGCTTAGTTAAATTCATTTTATAAATAATAAAAATAGCATGCTTTAATATCTAATCTAAAAGACTTGATGTACTTGAATCACTCAAACTCATATCTGTTATTTTTTACAGAGATGGCGGAAGCCGATGTATCATTTCATCCCTCTGCTGATTACCGCCGCCGCCTCAATTCAGAAGCAGCCTCTCAGCCCTTGCCCGATCTTCTGCTGCACGCTTCTCCCCGGAGGAGTAGATCTGCCTCAGTAAACCTGCCTCCTGATCATGCTGTACTGCGAGACATTGGCAGGTCCCTGCGGAGGATTAGTGATGATTTTCAGACAAGGCTATCTGGACAACAGGTTAGTTCATCAAATATTCACTTTTATCTTTCAAGAATTTTTCTTTTAATTGTTCGAAATAGTTCCCTTAAAACATCTAATTGTCGTTGCAAGCATTTGAAAATGCATCAGATCCTTATTACTTGCTTGTTATATAAATTTCAGAATTTAGTCGTAACGAAAACAATTTTTAAACAAATTCGTGTATAATTTGTTATCGTTTAATGAATTGTTTTTCCATTAAGGAATAAATCATATTTTTAATGAATTTTTGAGGTCTACTTTTGAATATCGTTTGCTTTAAAAATCGTTTGCTTTTTGAATATCGTTTGCTTTTTATCGTTTGCTAAAAAAAAAAGTTCTTTAAATAGAAAAATCTTGGTACTTTTCGTTTAGCTGGGCGCAAATAAATTCAACTATTTTTTTAAAAAAAAATTAATTTAAAATAGAATTTTGCTAAAAAAAAATAAATAAATAGTTGAATTTACTTGAGCCCGGCTAACCGAAAGTACCTACTTCTTAAATGATTTTAAAGTAAATAATTTAATTTACTAAGAGAAAGTTAGCTTTTTGTTATCTGTTGTAAAACAGGCTATATATTCGGCTGTCAATAACAAATTCTTTAATTGCATTAACTGTTGAAGTGATGCTTCTATTTACCCTTTTTTATGTTTGAAGGGATATGTGCTTCAACTGCACCCCTGAGATATTCCCATTCCCCCAATACTCATTCGATTTGGCCATTAAATGCGGCTGACAAGATAAATGTCAGCCCATTTCGGATCGCCATCTATCGCTCAGAAACATAAGTACAAGCAACTGCTGCTGAAAGGGATCTTTTTTCATTGAATTACTTCTGTCTTTTTCAGGATCCTTGATTGAAATCCTAGGCTCGCCTTTTTAATAGCTGTTAGAATGTATTTTTTTATTCTCATTTTCTCTTTAGACGGGGTTTTTCAAATCGTAAAAATTCTAAAGATTCTGAAAAATTATTCTATTGACTCTGTTTCTTCGAGTCTTTTAAATTGTTATGGCACAAGACAATATTGTTTCTTTATGGATGTGTATCTACTACATGTTCTGTTTTGAAATGGAAGCTATTTAAATGTAAAGCAATTCTCGGTGTTCTGAATGAGAAATGGATTTTCGCGTAAATGACTTAAATTCCATTTCTTTAAATCCATATTCTTCAACTGAGACATTTATTTCAAATGGGATTAAATTTTTCGGCGTCTGAGGAAATATTGCATATTTTTAAAGAAGAAAATACATAAGAAATTCAGCCTTTGAAAAAAAAATAGAAAATATATATATATTTTCATGCTCTACATTTTTTTTTTTTTTTTTTAANTTTTTTTTTTTTTTTTTTTTGCTTGTTTAAATAAATTATTAAGTATTTAAGTGTAACTTTAAAGTTGCAGCTGTAAGAATTTTTTTCTTTCTTTTTTTTTCTACCATTTTTAAAAATATTGGAACGTTTATTGTCATTGTTAAACCAGCGTAAAGATAATAAAGATATAAAATTTCAGCTTTTAAAATTTAAATTGGCTACTGAAAAAAATAAAGTTGCAATAAGATTTTATTTTGAAAAAAAAAAAAAAAATATTAGATAGCTAGAGAAAAATAGACTTCATCAAGATGTATGTGTTTTGACTATTAATGTTTTCGAAGTTACAATTTCGGCTTAATCATTTTACCTTAGGCGATATGCTGCGATTATTTGAGATTGTCTTGATTGTTTTAACTGAACTAAACCGCAAGTTTTACCTTCATTTAAACTGTTATGGTATAGGTAGATAAAACGTCTTAAGAATAGTAAATATAACTTCTTGGTTCAGTCACGAGCTTTTGCGGCTTTAAAAAACAAAAATAAAACTACTCGAGAGCATAAAGATAATCCATAAAGTAAGTGCCTGTAACCAGATGAGTCAACGACCGGTTTTATTGCAAAAGTTTTTGAATATTATGAGTCGTATTTTTAGATCTTCTCAATTTCTGACTAATCCATTGTTTTAGAATCGTCCCTTTCCTTCATTTAGTGACATCTGTCATATTTTCTGTGCACTACGCACACGATTTATTTACTGTCACGTGATGCCATCATTAATTGGCAGACGATTTCTTTTGTTGTTCGTTCGCGAAGTTAAGTGGAAGGTCAAATGTGTATACAAATAGCTTGATTAAGCGAATTTTATGCCATTAATGTCTGTTAAATTTTTCTTAATAATGTCCACCGAACTTCAATTAGTTTTATTCCATTGAATATGGATACGACTAATTTTTCCGTCTGTCTTATTCTGGGTCTATTTATGATGTTAATTTCTAAGTAAATTTTCATTTTAAAATGAGATATTTACTTCTTCGAGAAACAGCGGAAATCCAGACGATTTGACATTGAAACTGATATTTCCGCGGAATTTATTTTTTCGGGTTTGTTCTAACCATTATTGCAATTTTTTTCCCGAAAATATATGTCTCGTGAGAAAAATGAATAAATTAATAAAAATAAGAATAGTTAAAAAATAAATAAAAAAAACGAAAGAATAAATTAAATAGAAAAATTAAGTTTGCTTTCCATCAAAAGAAGACTTATTTTTGCTATTTTGTTTACGGCTAAACTCGCCTCTTAACGAAAAAACAAAATTTTTTATTTATTTATTTATTTTTTAATTAAACAACCAGTAATTTTACCTTTTTTTTGTGTTTTGACAAATTTAAATTTAAAAATGCGAAACTTGACTTAAATACCGTTTGGTTATGTTGCCTCGAATACGAAATATTTTATTTTGACACAATTTATCTAGTTCCGAGTTTTGTACCATTTAATTAATCAATTTCTTTATGAGATAGTGGAATATATCATTAAAATAAAAAATAGAAGTGAGATTTAAAGGTTAAAAAATTAATGAAACGGTCCGTCAAAGCTCAAAACTTGACAAAACAGGGGGTGTAATTAAATAGTTTTAAACCAAATGAAATGAAGTTATTTTTTTTAACGCTGATAGTTAATAAAGGTGAGGCGTAGAAATTTTTTTCTCTGACTTTTCATTGACATCTTAATGTTCTGAATATGTATGGTCTTTGTGCTTAAATTGTTGATGTTGTAAACTTAATCAAATATTTAGAATAACAAAATTAGTAATTTTTTTTTAATATTTTAAAAAAAAAAGTAAAATTTCAATAAAGTTGACAATAAATCGCAATTTTTTTCAGACAGTTAGATTATTAAAACTCAGACTTATATCTTCAAAATTGTCTAAGGACTATTTATGGTGACAGTTTTAGAATAATTTATGGAGGGTGCACGAATTTCCTTTGATGTTCAACGGTCCATTCTACCTGTATCCGCTTCCTTCCGTTTGACAAGTTATCCTCTTTAGATTAAAAAATGAGGGGTGGGGAAGGAGACCTGGAAGTATTCCTTGTGACTCATACTCCAATTCCGTTGAGGTAGGTAGCCCGTACCTGCCGAAGACTACCGACCGGAAGTTCGTGATTATGTTTATCAAGTTCTTTGGTATATCATCGGCATCCCCCAAAAACCGAGTCATCGAACATTCGGAGCTATTTTCTCTTTTTGTTCTTTTTCTCGATTCGGTGGAGTGTGGATGAGTTGCTGCCATAACACCTGCTGACCTTTTACCTCAGTTATTAAAGAGAGAAAGTGTGGATTTGCTTGGATGATTCAGAACTTGTAGGTGACTAATCGTTCGAAGTGGCTCAAACCGTTCTGGTTCAAATAATCGTCACCTCCCTCCTCTCTCTATCGCTATCGTCGTTGTCTGTCTAATTTTCATTTTAAAGGAGATCTTTGGTTTTGCTCGATTGCCGCTTTCAAACAATCATTTTGAAACTAAGATGCATCGGGCATCTAATGACACAGATACGTCAGTGATTTATTTTTTTAACTCATTTATTTTTTTGTAGTTTATATTGAAATGGTTTCTTGTTCTGGACGTGCTTTTTTTTAGTCGTGTAGATTTTATTGCTTTCGCAAATGTTAATTTAATTTACTAATCTGTCATTGCCTGCATCGTTGCCTTGTCTTATGAGGGAGTTGCAAGCCAGATCACGTTTTGCCATCGGTCGCGTTAGGTATGTCTTATATGCATAAATACAGAAGATTTTTAGCATTTACACACGGCGAAGGATTGCTTAGGCATCTTCTGAGCCTATTTTAAACCTTCGCACTCCGATGTATCGTCTCTGGGGCACTATTAACTTTAACCCCCTTAAATTAAAAAAATTTATACCTTAATCATTACCAACAACATTATTTTAAGAGTTTTAAAAGTTCTGTATTATGTATTTTAAATAATTTTGTGTTCAAACAGAATGTTAAAGTACTCAGAATTGCAAAGGGTTAAACTGTATTGGTTTTAAGTAGGGCAAGGATCAAAATTTCTTCCATTTTTAGACTTTCTCAAAGTTCATGGACTTATGAAATTAATCTTGTTGGGTTAGACCACTTGAGGATTACTTCTACAGTAACATCTACTGAATTTACTTTCCTGGTACTTTTGCTTGATTTTTCCAGCTTCTTCGGATTTAATCAAAAGTTCTTTTCGTTTTTGTATATTTTAGAAACTTTGCTTTTAAGGTACCAACGGAAATAGTTTTTTTTTTTCTTAATCCGGTTATCGTTTACTTGAGAATTTAAGTGGTAAGGAAACTAAATAGTGGTCGGTGCAATTTTTTTTTAATGAGTTTTAATCTTTCTATTTCATTATTGCTTTATGGCGAATAGTTTATAAAATGAACAAAAATATTTGCAGCTAATTTAAGTTCGTAACTATGAATTCAATCTACTATAACTATATAATAGCTATATAATATAGCTATTGCATTCTGTCAGCCTTCATTGATTATAAAAAATCTCTATAAGTTCTTTTCAGTGAATTTATTTACTTACTGTGCAAGAGTGACTTAATGCTTCTGTCATCTCGTAAAAATCGGATTTGTTTCCAGTTCGTGCAGGAAGCTATTAGATTATTCATTTTGAATTTCTTTTATAAATTTTC